ACCGACCAAGCTTTTGGGGGTTCAGTCATGAATAAAGCAGCAGAAGCAGCATTCTTGCCAGGAAGATAAGCTTTTATCTCCTTGCCGGCTTACAGTTCCAAGGGCGTTCCCTTAGTTTTAGCCTAGGCGGGGTTTCAGCCTCTGATACCAGTCAGGGCGGTTCCCAACAATACACTATAACTTTTACCCAAGGCTTCGCTCTTGTCCAAGATGTTGACGACCTCCTACTTTGTAATCAATCTGAACAGAGTGCTCTTGAAGGCACCAGCTGATTGAGGTCATAAAGCCCCCAGATTTAAACTTCTATTGGTGTAAACAACTGTTGCCTCTTTAGGTCATGAAATATCTCAGTGCAGTCAAATACTCACTGTCAAATGCTTTAAGTCAATATAGTGTCCATCTCTCTTCCAAAGACAAAGAAACATTTATGTAAATTCTTAGGGGCAGTTGGCTGTTGTTAAGGATAGATTTCCAATCTTGCTACCCTTATCAAACCTTTAATATTTTGTCTTCCTCTCAGATACACCCACAAAACTCTTTTCCTAGCCTCTTTTTAAGCTGGCATATCCACCTAATCTCTTAGCTGTTTGGGAAGCTACTCCTTGTAGAGTACTCCTATGCATATAAATTTAACTTTTCTTAAATTCATTAATTCAGTGGAATAACTGGATCAAAAAGCAGTTCCATTTTTATTTTTTGAGGAAATTTTATATTGTTTCCCACAGTGGCTGCACCAGTCTGCATTCCCACCAATAGTGCACTAAGGTTCCCTTTTCTCAACATCCTTGCCAGCACTTGTTTGTTGATTTATTAATGATAACCATTCTGACAAGTGTGAGATTTTATCTCATTGCAGTTTTAATTTGCATTTCTTTGATGGCTAATGATGTTGAGCATCTTTTCATATGTCTATGATCCATCTGTATGTCCTCCTAGGAGAAGTGTCTATTCAGGCCCTTTGCCCAATTTTTAATTGGATTGCCTACCTGGTGTTGAGTTGTATTAGTTCTTGATATATTTTGGAGATTAAACACTTGTCCAGTGTATCACTGGTAAATATGTTATCCCACACAGTCAGATCTCTTTTCATTTTGATGATTTTTTTTTAGCCATGCAGAAGCCTTTTAATTTGATGTAGTCCCATTTGTTTATTTTTTCCTTTACTTTCCTTGCCATAGGAGATAAAATGGCAAAAATATTGCCATGTAGAATACTTGAAATTTTATATTGTCTATGTTTTCCTCTAGGACTTTTATGATCACAATTTGTATTTAAGTCTTTTATCTATTTTGAGTTTATATTCTGGTGTGTGGTATATGTTAGTGGTGTAGTTTCACTTTTTTTTTTTTTTTTGGCATGTACCTGTCCAGTTCTCCCAACACCATTTATTGAAGAAGCCATTTTTACTGCACTATATCCTCATTCCCCTTTTGTCAAATATTGACCATAGAGATGGGTTTATTTCTGGGCTCTCTATTATGCTCAATTCATCTATGTGTCTGTCTTATGCCAGTATCAGACTTTGAATTATAGTAGCTTTGTAGTATAGTTTGATATCAAGTATTGTGATCCCTCCTACTTTATCCTTTTTTCCCAATATTACTGAGGTTATTTGAGATCTTTTTGGTTCCATATAAATTTTTGAAATATTTGTTCCAAATATGTGAAATATGCCATTGGTGTTTTTTTAGAAATTGCATTGAATGTATAGATTGCTTTGGATAGTATAGACATTTTGATGATGTGAATTCTTCCAACCCATGGACATAATATATGCTTCCACTTATTTGTATCTTCCTCAAATTCTTTCTTTGGTGTTCTATAGTTTTTTTTAGTACAGTTCTTTCACCTCCTTGGTTAAATTTATTCCTAGGTACTTGCTATAGTAAATGGGATTTTTTTCCTAGATTTTTTTTTCTGACAGTTGTTGGTGTATCAAAATGCCATCAATTTCTGAATATTTACTTTGCATTCCACTATTTTGCTAATTCATTGATTAGGTCAAGTATTTTTTTGTGGAGATTATAGAGTTTTCTATGTACACTATCATGTCTCCTGCAAATAATGACAGTTTTACTTCCTCTTTTCCAATTTGTATGCATTTTATTTCTTTTTCTTGTCTGATCACTATGGCTAAAACTTCCAATACTATGTTGAATAAAAGTGAAAGCAGATACCCTTCCTTATTTCTGACCTTAAGGGAAAAACTTTTACCCCCATATTCTGCACAAATCTTTTTTTGTGTGTTTCAGTTGCATTTTTACCTTTCTTGAAATAATAAAGCATAATATGCCAAAATGTTGTATATTTTCTCCCATCTTCAACATTAAAATGGCTATACAAAAATTCACCAATTTTGGTAAGTTGTTTTTAAATGTATGCTGATATGACAGCTGTCACAATGCAATCTAACAAAATTGTTTTGAATTAAATTAAAGACAACTAAACACTACTAGAACCATCTTTTTGTCCAACTCAAGATATACAGAATCTTACCACTTACCGCTTCTATGGCTACAACTTTGATATAAGCAACCATTTTTCCTTGCCTGGATAACTTCAACAGTCTCAATATTCCTGCCCGTGTCACACCCTCACTCCCACCCCTTTATAAAACATCCCCACTAAATGTCATGTGCTTGTAGTGGCTATTAAGTTCCCATTGTCTTCTGATCCCATGTCTTCCTGTCATCTACCACACTGGCTTCCTTCTGTTATTTTAAGTTCTTCCCTCCAGCTCTTCCCTCAGATATCCATGCCACTTACTTCCTCTCCTGCTTTGGTTTTTTATTTCCTTAACATAGCTTTATTTATCTTATCTTTCTACTAGAATGCTTCATGAGATCAGGGAGTTTTACCTTTTTCATTCATTTCCATATCCCAAGCTCCTGTATACTTAAGAGGATGGTGGGGTAATACCAATATGAGGCAAACCACTAGCTCAAAATTTGGAGCTATACCTCCAAGGAGGGGTGGACAGCAGGGGTGTGCAAACAGATGAGTCCATAGAGAAAATCTTTTTATTCAGGTGATTGGCTCCCTCCTCCCACTGCACTGTGTTTACTTACCTCTGTTAACATTTTCTGAAATTAACTTTTTAAATGTCCATCTATGCCACTAGGCGATAAGCTCCTCAAATGTTGGGACCTCACTTTTTCAGTGATGGGTACCAGCAACAAAATCTGTGTTTAGAATGATATTCATTGTTGACTGAGATGCTTAATATATACTCCAAGCAGAAAATGAAGAGAACCTGAACAAGGTCATAGTGAAGAACTAATGATCACTTAAAAAAATGAAGAGGGAATTGTCTAGAACAACTTATAGGGTTTGGTAGTAAACAGGAGAGTCTGAAATGGTTCCCTTGTGATTAATTTGGAGGCTGGATAAAATCAATGAGGATGTTAGCCTGGGGTAAGTAGCTGGGGTGAGGGTTATTTTCCTATCCAGGATATTACTATTTTTGTTATATAGAAGCAAAGACAGTAATTAGGATTCAACTAGTTTTGGACTGATCAGCATTATTCATTTAAAGAATGTTTTCATTAAGCTCCCCCAGCCTATTATTGTTAGGTCTGGGTTCCTTGCTGTAGATGCTATTATGTAGGTTTGTTGGGCTTGATCTTCCTCAGGGTTTAAAACTCAGGAAATATCTTAGTTTGTATCTTTTTATACTGGTTATAGTCTCTAAATACAATGCCAGTAGCAGGTGTTTTTCTTAATCTTTATCTAATCTGTTGATGGTATAACAAGATGGCATTGGAAACTCCAAAGAAAATTTTAAGACACTGGCCAGAGTGGCTCAGTTTAGAGCATCATCCCACAACTGAAAGGTTCCAGGTCTGATTCCTGGTCCGAGCACATGCCTATGTTGCAGGTTCTATCCACAGTCCGCGCGTGTGTGGAAAGAAACCAATTGATGCTTCTTCCTTGTATTGATGTTTCTCTCCCTTCCTCTCTATAAAAACTCAATGACAAAAAAAAGTCCTCTGGTGAGGATAATAAAAATAAGAAAATTTTGCCAGGAATCAGATAATAAAGAACCAGGTACTAGATCAACTGGTCCTTACTTGCTGAGTTTTTTCACGCACATCAAGTACTTTATGCAGGTTGGTTATGATTTGGAATAAAGAAACTTAGCCCACAGTTGAGGCACCATGTGACCTTGTAAAACTCATTCTTATCAGGCATAATACCATCACCACTAATTACTTCAGCAAATACTGCTTAGTGAAACAGGAAGGGCTATGCTCACTCAGCTTCCTTGGGCTTGAAGTGTAAAGGCAGGGATCATTCTTTGTTAAAAGATTTTTTTTGAGCTTTTTGCAGTAAAATATGATTTCTATAGAGATCTGTGTAATAGTGCTCATGTTCACAAAAATCAAACCCTGGCTATTAATTCACTTTGCTCAACAGGAAATAAATTAATGAGACAGACTCTTAATTCTGATGTAACTGGCTTTACTAAGATGTATGGAAATGGAAAACAGGTAGAATATGCACACTTACAGATTTCAAGGGTGTGTTTTGCACTCATCTTTTGGATCAACTTTAAGCAATTTTTCTCTTGTTTTTCCACTGCAGTACACAAACTCATTTTTAAAAAATAAATTAGTGAATATGAGAATAAAAGGACTGATTTTGTTCCCAAATTCCAAGTTTCATCTAACATTTGAAGTTGAATGTGTACACACTTAAAAATAAATATATTTTAGCCCTGGCTGGCGTAGCTCAGTGGATTGAGCTCGGGCTGCGAATCAAAGTGTCGCAGGTTCGATTCCCAGTCAGGGCACATGCCTGGGTTGCAGGCCACTGCCCCCAGCAACCGCACATTGATGTTTCTCTCTCTCTCTCTCCCTTCACTCTCTAAAAATAAATAAAATCTTTAAAAAAATAAATAAATAGATTTTGAGGGCAGAGAATTAAAATTGTAAAAACAAAACTCTCTAAGGCAAATAAATAATTTAAATACATTTTAACTGAAAAACAGTATTGGGAAAACTGATAATTTAAAATTACACAGGATTGTACATGTTATTGACATTTAAAGAGAATTTTATATATATTAATAAAAGGCACTAGGTAAACAGATGAATTTGCCTTCTGGTTTGTTCAGCTGACATGCTGAAGTTGCTATTGAGGTAATTCCTGCTTGTGACGAAAGAAGATGCAAGAATTCCTTGCAGTTTTCAGATTTTTAGTTTGTTAACAGTATTTCAAGATAATTGTCTTATCTTATGAATATGTCACTTTTACTTGCTAAGAGACATTTCTCATGTACATATTTCTTATAGTGCCAATCACACTGAAAAATAATTCAGGGCTAAGGTGTTTTTTTTTTCTTTTTTTCCTATTTACATGACTTTGGCATAATTCTAAATTGCAAAAATGTGATTTAAAAATAAAGTATCATCTTTTTTAGTTTGAATAGTTAGGAACGTGAAAGTATACAGGTCAAGCTACATCAACTGGAATTTAGTTTTTCATGTTGATCAGATGGGAAGACTAATGTCTACCTGTAAAACTGGGCTAATACTCTGCAATGTATATTTATAACCAAAAGTTACATTCAGTTACTCACTTTTCTAAAAACATCTTTATTATTTTACATAATAAAGATCTATAAAGTGCTATGCAACATGCAAAAGAAATACCTAAGCATGGCCTGTCCTACAAACTGGGTGGGGTCCTCCCAATGATTCTTTCAACTGGCTTTAGTCAATACATATTGTCATTATTTCAGTCTATGGTGAGCTAAATACCATTAATTTTACATGTAATCTATTTATCTTCCAAAAATAAATGAACCAGAAACAGGAAACTTGATTTGACAATCAATATTAATTATACATTAATGAAATATTCTATTTATTCATTATCAAGAGTTACTTCATGTCAAATATATCCTCTCAAACTCAGTTGATAAAAGTTGATAATAAATTCTGACATAGCCAACTAATTTTCGTGAAATACAATGAGTGTGAAGATGCATATTCATATTTATATTCAATTGTATAAAAAGGGAATGACACTAAAACTAGCTCAATAGTAATCATCTTTCCTTGGGTATCACTGTCATGTATCATCATTTTATGAAATAAACCTGTAGGAACAGAAGGCTCAGAAATAACATATGGAGGAATAAACAATGTTACTAACAAAGGAAACTAAAGCCTGCTTATTCCTCTTATGTTAGGAACTACATGTAACTCTTAAATATTTGCACTAGTTTCCCTTGGAAAATCTACCACTCCATATAAGCGAGGATTTAGGAAGGCATGGTGCCTTATCCATGTGTTCAGTAAATGACTTCTGATTGACAGTTTTGTGCAATTTCATCATCAGTACTAAAATATATCACTCAAAATATATATCTTGTTGACCACTGTGTCAACAATACCATTACAAAAACAAAAAGTAGTCCATTATATTATTTTTAAGTTTTTGTCATTCAAAACAAAACTTCAATAGCAAATCAGATGTCATATTATTGTATATTTTGAAAAGACAAGAAAACCATTAAATTGGTTATTTAGTAGAATACAGGGTTTTTTTTTATCTTTTGATAGTATTAAGACAAGGGTAGATAAATTCATTTGAAGGTAATACTAGTGTCTTTTCTTCTTCTTACACTTTTGGAACTTTTGCCTATATTCGCCTCTATTGTTTTCTGTGCTACTATCACTATCACTTGTTTGTTTGTGCCGCTTTCGCTTATTCATCTGGTAAAGGTCAGAGTCACGTGGTTGTTGGTGAGTCCATTCATAAGAGCTTGGTCCAGCCTCTAGATTTGGAACATGATTTAGTGAAGGCACAGATGTGCTGTTAGGAAGTGGTGCTGTCATCTCACAGTAAGGAAGCTGTAGCACTGGATTATATGCATGCCACTGCTGTGAAAAAAACAAAACCAAAAACATTCATCTGCCACAACAAGCCCAAAGTTAAAAAAAAAGTTTACAGTTTAAATGCATTATACAAATAACTACATGCAAACCAAGCCGTGTATTGATATAAGAAAGGCCATGCCTTTGCTAAGTAGGAATGTGGTAGTTTCTTTAAATAGTTAACATAAAGATTCAAGGTAATGTATAGCTTACTACAATACAACTTATTGCTTTCCTGGAGAAATAAAATGCTAGTCACATATGTAATTTTAAATCTTTGAGTAGGCACAATAAAAAAATGAGGAAAGAGGTGCAATTAAATAATGTATTTTGTCTCAAAATATTTCAACATGTAACCAATATAAAAATTATTATGACATATTTTACTTTCCTTTTTCATGCTAAGTCTTCAAATTCTGGGATATATTTTATACTTTACAGAATATTCCAATTCTGATGGTAAATTTTCATAGAAAATACTTGATCTAAATTTCAATTACATAAAATTTACATGTGAAAAAGTAAATATATATATCCAAGTTCTTTTAAATGTATGTATAAGTTTTCTAATAACTGAATCATGTTTCAAATTTTAATTTAAATTAAAATTAAAAACTCAGTTTTTTAGCTTCACATGCGGCTAATGGCCACCATATTATATAGCATGGTTAGTAGTTATGATACCTAATTCTTTCTTTTTAAAGTAATTTTTAATTAAAGTTTCTAACTATTTAAAGCACATTAAATGTCAATGGAGATAACTTTAGAGTGACTGAGTAAGTGAAGGTGTGTGTGGTTTTTCCCTCATATCTACCAAAATTTAAAAATGCTAGGAAGAAGATATTGACAGTTTTAGATGTGAACTGGTGGTTTACTAATATCTCAGTGTAACTAAGAAAAGTTTTCTCCAAAAGTTAAATTATCAACTTTCCTTATCTTTACAAAAGTAAAAATGGCTTTTTAAAAAATCTGAAGCTCACATGTATGCTAGATGTTTGTAAAAAATCCCACTCTATGAATCAGAAAACCTGTGTTATAGTCCCACATGTGTCACTAACAAGTACAATCAAACTTGCTGATTAGTATTATTGAACCTCAATTTTATTATGCATAAAATGAGTTGAGCTCTGGCTGGTGTGGCTCTGTGGGTTGGGGCATCATCCCATAAGCCAAAGGGTCACGGGTTTGATACTCTCTTAGGGCACATGCACAGTTGTGGGTTGTCCCATGTCAGGCTGTGTACAAGAGGCAACCAATCAATGTCTCCCTCTCTCTCTCCCTCCCTCCCTTCCCTTCCCTTCCCTTCCCTTCCCTTCCCTTCCTTTCCCTTCCTTTCCCTTCCCTTCCCCTTCCCTTCCCTTCCTTTCCCTTCCCTTCCTTTCCCCTCTCTAAAATCAATAAGCATGTCTTTGGGTGAGGAAAAAAATAAATAAATAAATGAAAATAAAATAAGGAGCTGAAAAAAATAATTTCCTAAGTTCCCCTTTAATAATAAAGATCGTAATTACGATTTCTAGTCCAGAACCATATTTCTGAGAGTCTTTGGAAATAATATAGTTTAACACATTGAAAATCTTTGCCTTCAGGAAAAAAAATTACTTAAAAAATTCATATCCAAAAGCAATGCATTTGTGATTAATGGTTGCAGTATGTAAAAATGATTCACTAAATAAAATTATTCAAATCTAAAAGTATCTTTTGAAATGGTCATTTAAATGACAACTCTGTATTCATATTTTACTTGGACCACAGTGCGTCATCACTGCCATCTGTCCCCTTCTAGAGACGTGCTGGCTGTTTGCTGAGGTACTGTGTGTTGGATTTAAGATGACTGTGTTAGAGCTGACTGCCACAGGGAAAAGTGCTCCAAGAAGCTTCTGCCTTTGTCCCAGGTTTAGAGTTGAACACTGTAAGTTCCAAATAGTTTTCATATTCTTCACTATTTGCATTATATTACATATTGAACCAATGGCGTATCAAACTTACCATCTTTGGAAAGAAAAAATATTCTTGAGGTAAAGCTGCATTAGTAGTTGGAAAAAACTGCATGGGAAAGGAAGCTCTACCCATGACTTCTTCATTTCTTTGGAAAGGTAAAAGAAAATAATAGAAAGTTAAAATTCCTACCTTCGAATGCTCTGTTTTCTTTACAAAAAAAAAAATAGAGACAACTCTTTGTAATTAAAAAAAAGTTTCTCTAAGAGAGCTTAGTTAAGATTAATTTTAAACATTCACCCACAAATAATCAGTTATTATATTGATAATGTACTGACATAGCAATACCTCAAGTCTTATTTATTACTACACTGAAATCTCAATTTCGAGTCACATTTGGTTTTTTTGATAAGAAAATGTTAAGCAATGTTAATTTTATAAAGAACACTTAGGTATTAACATAGCAGAGCAAGTCATTAATAATTACCAAAGACATATTCAGTCTTTTATAGTTATTGAAAAGAGAAAGGTAGCAATTTTTTTTCATTTTTCAATATATATTTATTGTCTATGTAAATTATGCTCTTTTCTAAATGGACTGCTGATGTTCACAAGAATATTTGCTTATTTCTTCTACATAATAAGATAATAAATATCACTAATTAAAAAACTGTGGTGTTCTAAAATTTCATTTAAAAGTGTAACACCTTGTGTTTTCTTCTATGAGGATGTTCAATAAATTGCAGTTACAAATACTGGCTAGATCTATAGGTAGTCTTCATTACTCTACTTGCTCCATAGTATTCCACAGTCTTAATGATACTACTGCTAACCCTTTGGACAGAAGGTGTACTGTGGGAAGAGCAAAATTAACATGGGTGGGCAGAGGCAAAGATGAGGGTGGAAAACAACAGGAAGCAGTCAGATGAATAGCTGCATATCCCATTAGTGAGTGTTGAGACTAGTATCAGAGAAGCCTAAATGATTCATTACAATGAGACCTTGGATGCTTAAATAATTTAATAGGTATAAAAAGAATACAATAAACTATAAATAACATAATATAAAACCCATGTACTGCTGAAGATAATATGCCTGAACTTAAATGAAAGCATTTTCTGTCATTTTTAATGGCTTCGGAAAAAAATGAATTCCTTAATTTTATCATGCCTAAATGATAAGGTTTACAATAATGCAGAATATATAAAAACTCTTCCTGGTATAAGAACATGTTTATTTTCTTTGCCTTCATGAAAAATATTTTTATTACCTGTAGCTGTGTGAATTTATCTTAACACAGCTCTCAAAACTTTGGTTAGCTGGTTCAGAAGGGCGGGAACTCCCTTTAAAGTAAATAGAATAATGGATTACTTCATGGTACAATTTAAGTTCTAACATTAAATGATCAAAACCTCCAAACTCAAGTGGATATAGTATTAATTAAAATTCTATACTTATATACAATACATGCACATGTCTCTGGTCTGCCAAGTAATTTACAGATTGTTTATATTATTATAAATGACTGACTTATAATCAAACTTTATTCAAAGCAATGGCTCTACAAAAGAATTACATTGACATGGGACCACATAAGATACATGGTGTTTTGTTCTACACACCTTTAAACTAAAAATGGCAAAACAATCAGTGTTATTTATTTACCTCCTGTGTATAAGGCATGAGTTCTTTAAACTGCACTAACAAAGCAACATCGCAGAGGATGCTAAGCAACTGACTGGGTAAGTGTCAGAACATAACTGGGTAGTATTTGAAAGCATCATGCAGCCAATTTTCTTTACAAAGACATTAAAAATATAAAATCAAAGAGAAGCACTTTTCCTTTGCAAGAAGACATTGTTTTCTTATTATTGTGTGATTTTGTTTAGCAAGAGTAATAAAAAAACAAACAAGGGATATATCAATAAGCCTGAATCATTTGAGGGAGGGAAGCAACTTCATTGAGGGAGGGAAGCAACAAAAGCATTCCAAGCACTGAAACATAAACATAAGCATTGCTTCTATCAGTCCCTCTAAACTGGAAAGGGCTAGAGTTTTAGTACAATGTCCTCTGGATAGCTAATCAAAGATGATCAGTTCTTAGCATGTGTGCGAGGAGAAGTCACTTGAGGCCATTCTTTTCAGAAGGCATTGCTCCACCACTATGAAGTGTCACTAGGCAGCTGCCTTTGGTCAGCGGCTCTTATAGGGGCTTAAATCCAGGGGTGGATATATATATATATCATGGTTTCCCAGGAGGACTAAGTCACCCACCCCATCTTCCAAATAGTAGGTATTTGATACCACACATTAGCAATGACAAAAAGATTAGCATAGTCTTGCTATATAAAAGCTATAGTTGTGTGTCCCCAGTTCATTTAAATTTGTTTAACTTATAACAGCCAATAGCAACTATCATAGATACTTGCTGGCTGACACTAAAATAGAACATTAAAACTGTTAATACAAAACAGATGCAATACGGTTGACAATGTAAACGGCAACACTAACTACATACCATTATGAATTAGACATGTGTTCTGAGAAAACTAATAGAGGCTATGGGGGAACTTTTCTGGTCTTATGCTATATAAAAAACAAAATACACCCCTGAGAACATCACCACCAAAAAAACTCACTTAGATAGACCTACCAAATCGATACTGCACATGGATTGGTCTTCCATATAAACGAATTCCATTCAGCAAAGCTATGGCATAAGACACCGATTCTGGATGTTTAAAGCAGACAAATCCAAAAGACTTCGGTTTGCCTTCTCTGTCTTTGCATATGGTCACTTTGGTTAATGGCCCAGCCTATAAAAAACTTAAAAATTATTTTCTCATAAATCTAAAGATTTTTTACAGTTAGATAAATCAAGTATATTTAACTTTAGATTTTAAAAAATCTGTTACCAATAACAGCTTTATGTAGCTCTGCTAATAGCATATTTTCCTAACAATACATATTACACTTCATACGCGTTCTTGGTCCTTTCTGGCTTACAAGAAACATTCATGGTGTTAAGAATAGGAAATTCTATGTGGTAGGTCCAAATCTTGAAAGGAAAGTTGTTCCCCTTTAGTTAGACTTAGCAAAACAAGTTTAGCAACTTCTTTTTCATCTCATGACATATGTAAATTAATTACTAAAATACTACAGCACACCCAAAATATATATTTTTGTCAATCTGACAAAAATAGGTGTAATTTTGATTCCTTTACATGGGACAGCTATTGTTGTGTTGGCTGTTGTCAGCTTTTTATTTGACAATCTAAGGGAAAAGCAGTCAGTGACCCTAATAATCAGGTACTGCGTGTTTTAAAAATTCTTGTAGCACACCAGTTAAAAATCACTGTTCTAGAATTTAGAAGGGCCTAGGTAAACTATGCTTGGTTGCCTGATTATTAGAAAAGATGAACATTTAATTTAGGTAGAAATCATAAAAAATGAGAATTATATATATTATATAGTCTTATAGATCCAGTCCCCCTGACTAAAAATAATGTACGTATAGGGGGCTTTCATGCCTTATCCGACCTTCCTTCGTTTCTGGAGGCTCAACATAAAACACATCTTCTAGAGAAAAAGAATGATTTAAGTCCGTCCTTTCTTTCCTTCTCTCCCTCCCTTCATCTCCCTTCTTTCTACTGCTTTTTAGTTAGAATGACAAGTTTTAAGCAACACTGGGGGAAAACAACTATTAGAGCAGAGTTTAAAAAAGCAAGTTTAAAAAGATGGCAAGTTATTAGGAGGATGAACATGAATGTCTTATACTTAAACACTATTTTTCAAATACTAAATAGTTTTATGTCCAGGACAGGAAACGTGTTCCTGGAAGGGATTGCTTCGATCAATAACGGCGCCCCTCGGGCCTCGTTATTCGATCAATTTGTGGGTACCTACAATTAACAGGAGTGCTTTAGTTCAGAGACACAGGTAGGGCCTTTCAAAAACCAGTTGGCTGGTACTCATACTTACTCCTGGAAATTTAGCTTTGCTAGCCTCTCACTTGAAACTGGCTCTTATTCTGACAGGGGCAAGTCACTCTTTCCTGATTTCTCTTGATGTTAATACTGGTAGTACTATTGGTAGCAGTGGCAGCGGTAAAAACAGGAAGGGGCAGGCTCAGTTCCGTTTTACCTGGATTAGTTTATTTAACCTTCACACATCATGCAACATATGAGGAAACTGTTGTACTTTTATTGCTATTTAGCCCAGGTCACACTTGTGACATCAGAATTCACACTGTAAAAAACTTCGCTATATTGTGCATCCCTCTATTTTATAGATTATCCTAGGCCATGGTAATTAATTTTAAGTTTTCGCTTTTAGAAAGGCCAAAATCTCTCCCTCAAATTTGTATGCCCAGTACCTTACTTACTGTTTAAAACGGAATTCTGGACCATTAACGGGTTAGATGAGTGGCTGAATGAGGATATCTCTTCAGCAAGTGAGACCTAGGTGTGTACAATAGGTGAATGTTTCCGGGTGACAAGAGGCTTAATTCTGGAGGTGGCAGGTCTGGAAAGTTTCCAAGTCTTCTTGGTATAAAATAAAAGGGACTGGCCAGGTTAATTGGTCACAGTCATTTGCTGAGCAAATCAGCTCAAGTTTCATTTATCATAGACCCGCCGCATAAAAGGGGTTAGAGAAAAATTAACAAATAGGGGAACATTTAAAAACCCATACCGCTAATTCCGAGGGTGCTTATTTTATCGTCTGAAGGAAGACAATGACACGGCTGTTTTCTGTTTTTACGGAGCACGTCCGCGGCCCCAGGCAGACTCCTCCAAGCTGTTTCTCAGGGCGGAGCCCAATCACTGCCCCTTCCCAGAGCTCCCGCACTGGGGATGGGGCGGGGGCGCACACTGGGTCACATCACCACCCAACCGCTCACCTGGACACAGGAGCAAGGCAGGACCCAGTTAACACCAGGGCCCAAGGTTGGGGCGGGAAGGGGGCCGGGCTCCGAAAGGTCAGGTGCACCCCGCCCCTCAGACTGCGTTTTAGCCTCGAAGCGCCCGGCCCCTAGGCCGCCCCTTCCCCACCGACGGTACCTGAAGGAACAGTTCGTAAAGGATCTCTTCCCGCACGCGGGCCTCTAAATTCCCCACAAACACCGTCCTCTCGGCCTCCTCCACAGCTGGGAACATCCCTCCGGTCTCGCCCAAGGATTGATGGGGAGATGCAGCTACCCGCCCCTTTCGCTTTCTCACCGCGCCGCCCGAGCGAGGGGGTGGGGCCGACAACCAAAGCGCTGTGAGGAGGGCGGAGCGAGAGTGCGGGCCACGCCCCTGGCGCACCTCGGGCCACGCCCACCGCGCACCCGGAGATCCCACTGGGACCGTGGAGGAGTGAGTCAGAGTAAGGATCAGCTGCGGAGGAGGCGTTGCCCTCGTTCTGGGCAAGACGTTGTTAATTGATTCTGGATTTATTCAGCCAACATTTTAAATACATTTTCTACAGAAATCGAGTTATCCTCATTGCATTACAAAAGCTCCCAGGGTAAAGGGAGATCAGTTGGCAAAGAGTGAATAAAATCATTAGGATTTTAAAATTACATTCTTTATAAAATTATTTTTTGAAAGAATGTATGCATGAATGTGGATACAAGACTGCTAAAACTAGCCCTGGCTAGCATAGCTCAGTGGATTGAGCGTGGGCTGCAAACCAAAGCATCGCAGGTTCGATTCCCAGTCAGGGTACATGCCTGGGTTGCAGGCCATGACCCCAAGCAACTGCACATTGATGTTTCTCTCTCTCTCATTCTCCCTCTCTTCCCTGTCTAAAAATAAATAAATAAAATCTTAAAAAAAAAAGACTGCTAAAACTAAAGTTTATTCACCTAGGAAACACTTCTAGAGAGAAGTCTGAAAATGGCTGCAGAGGTTTTAGGGGAACCTAGAAGGCATTTGAACCCGAGAAAAAGCCTATACCAAGAAATATTGGAAAGAGTATATAGCAAGTTTTGTGATTGATACTAGAAGTTTTGAAGATGGCTCCTGGGCGCTGTAGCAGGTTCCAATATGCACACTTTACATTAGGACTGCACTTTGTATACAGTGTACCAGTGTGAAAAATTGATTCTTACTTGAGGGTTTTTAAAAATCTTAAAAACAATAAAGATAATTTAAAGAAAGAGATTTAGAATTTCAGTACCTTGGTAAATCAACTGTCAACTTTTAACTTGGTGTCCTTTCTGAATATAATGTATGTCTACATAAAAACTTGAAATCATTGTGCAGATATCATTCAAGTAATCAAGGCACCATCTGACCTTTAAGTAGGCACCTGTGATAATTCACGTTGAACTGAGGCATGCTTTTACTTGGTTGGTGAAAAAAAAAAATCACCTACCTCTTGTAATGAAAAGGGACACAACTTTGGAACCCTGATTTCTAATGGAAATCTGACATTACTTAGTGTTATGATTTTAGGTTAGTAAATTTCACTTTTTGGAATTAAAGTTCTATTTCTTAAGAAATAGATTGGGCTACTATCATTACTTCTTTTAAAAGCTATTTTCTGAGTGCTTGTTATGGTCCAGACACTGTCTTTAATCCTTGGGAAACAAAAATAAGTATAAAATTCTGCCTTTCTAAAGCTTACAGCATAATGGGAGAGTGACTTTCTTTGCATGTAAATACAAATAATGTTTCAATAACTTTAATAATCACCTTCAGTTGGTATATGATGAGTCTATAAATCCTGTCTTTATTTTTTCTTTCCTTTACTAACATTGTTGTAGTAAGGTAGAAAGTGGTTAAGGAAACTAACATAGTGTAGGTATATAACAAATATATGTTGATCGAATGAATGCATACTTGCAAGTTTCTATTATGTGTGTGTTTCTTTATTTTTTTTTTAAATTCATTTATCTCATAAATCTTACCTAAACCGACATAGTTCTTCTTTAACTCCTCTCAGACACTGCTTATCTGGTAGGTGAATTTTCAGGTTTTATTGTAAAACATGTAGCATATATATATGACCAAATGCTAAAACCTTTATATTTATAAGTAATTATCATATTATCTTGTTCTAGTGAAATTTGCATTAATCTTTGTTTACAAATGTATATGATTTTGGAGTTCCTAGTACATACTCTTCTGGTAGAACATAAGTTTATAGTGCTTATAATTCTAAGAATACTTAATGTTATAAGTTCTGAAAATCATGCAGTTAGCTCTTTGTTCAAAAGTTGATATTGATATATCATTTTTCTATGTAAGCATACTGTATTTCTTAACATATTGAATGCATGCATAGTCACAAACATAGTAGAAGCTGAAAAATAATTCAGTTTACTCTTAGTATTTGCGGGACCATTAGTCACAGATTAGGTTTATGGGTTAAGTGCATGGAACATGCTACAAATAATTAGCTTTTCTTTATTCATATCAGGATATGATATGATATTCTTTAAAATATCAGGATATTTTCAATCTCTAACTGTATGAACACATCAAAAATGAAAATGTTTACTAATATGTAATATATCCTTGATAAAAATATAAACTATGTTCCTATAAAGATATATTTATATAATATAAATTTGTGTATTTATATTTTATATTTTATATGTTTTATATATTTTATATATCAGTTAGAGCTCCTTTCTCTCATTCCTTGTTCAGTTGACTCTTATTTTCTTTTGTAGTTCAGCACAGGTTGTGCCTCCATCTAGGTTTCCCTAAACTCTACACTCTAAATTAGCTGGCTGCCCCTTCTGTATGTTCTGTAGTTTTTCTAGACATGCATTTTCAAGCCCTTCTGACTGTGAAGTACTAAAGAGTAAATATCAGTACTAGCACAATCCCTGACTCATCTGTGAATGTATTATAAGCAGTTCTGAAAATAATACAGTTTGAATAAGTTACCCTGGATATCAGTTATCTGATATGCCAGAATATTAGTAGATGCTTAATAAAAGTTGCACCCTGGCTGGTGTAGCTCAGTGGATTGAGCGCAGGCTGCAAACCAAAGCATTGCAGGTTAGATTCCCAGTCAGGGCACATGCCTGCGTTGCAGGCCACGGCCCCCAGCAACTGCACATTGATGTTTCTCTCTTTCTCTTTCTCCCTCCCTTCCCTCTCTAAAAATTAAATGAAATCTTAAAAAAAAGTTGCATAAATGTATGTACAAATGAATGAATGTATGGAGAAACTTGGTAAGTTAGTGTTATGAGACTCTAGTGGTCTCTGGCTGGTATTGCTCAGTAGACTGAGTGTAAACCTGCAAACTGAAGGGTCGCCAGTTTGATTACCAGTCAAGGCACATACCTGGGTTGCAGGTACTGGGTTGCGGGTCCCCAGTAGGGGGCACTCGAGAGGCAACCACACATTGATGTTTCTCTTCCTCTCTTTTTCCCTCCCTTACCTCTCTCTAAAATAAATAAATAAATAATTTTTAAAAAGAGACTGTAGTGGATGAATTTTTAAAATTGACCTCACTTTCATTTGACTCATTTTGTTATTATTCTGATTTTTTTCTAATCATATTTGTCTTAAGTAAACATAGTATTTTTTGTTTTACTTGTATTAGATATTTATTTTAAAGAAATATTTTTAGTATTTAAATAAATAAATAAGAAAGTGAAAATCATTAATGTCTATCATACACAGATAAACATTTTAAAGGAAAACCTTGCTAACTTTGATCTGTGCATGTGTACATAAAACATATTTCAGGAAAATAAACTTTACTAAACATATTGTCTTTAGATTACCTTTTCTCCCCTTAAATCATATAATGGAGGCCTTCTTCACCAATAATATTGACTTGCTTTATCTACATCACTAATTGTAATCTGCAGTATGTGCATAATTAGATTAATCACTCACTGTTAGACATTTACATTATTGCTATATTTTGGCTATTATAAAATGCGATAAACATCTTTGCTTATATATCTTTGTGTACATGTGTAAATATTTCTGTAGGAAAGAATCTTAGATGTTTAATTGCTGAATCAAACAGGAAGATCATTAAACATTTTGACACATACTGCTAAATTATATAAAAGATCATGCCAAAATATATTCTGATAATGACTACCCCATCTCAATAAACAGTACTCAACTACCTATTATATTTACCTATAAAGTGCTTAAAAGCATGCTTGGTACGTAGGGTTCAATCAATTTTATATCATCACCATCCTCATTATCACTTTTATAGTATTGTTTACATTGTATGCATGTATATAAGCTTCTTAAAATCATTTTTTAATCCAAGGAGAACTAAATAAGTACATAAATATTGTCTTCCTAAATTATAGGCATTTTATATAATATTTCACCATCCCTGACTATTTTGTTATTTAATGCAATGGAAATTGATAATCCCAACTTTCTCACTATTGATAGTAAGTAAAAAATATAAAAAGGCAATTTAATATTTTGAAACTGCTATGTATTATGCTGTCCTAAATGTCCAATTGATATTTTCAATATGAGTTCTTTAGACTGGAAAAGATGAAAACAATGTGTAAGATGCATTTTACACTGTCACATCAAAAATGCAAAGCAAAAGGAAAATTTATGTTAAATAAGAAAGATTTATCTTTTAATTTGAGTATAATATGGTTAAGAAAAATCACTTTTAACATGTATGACAATTATATTTTTTCCCAAATTTTGAAATGATGTAGTCTACTTATACCTTTGTTAGAGAAGGACAGTTATTATAGCTAAATAATGTGGAAAGACCTAGGTTATTTGGTGGTCTTCAGTCTAATTTTTATGGTGGCACCCTTTTAAAAATGAAGTCTCATGTAAAATCTCCAGAGATCAAGAGGGACAAAATAATGATGAGGCTTCATCAGTAATTAATTTTTTCATGATTTTTAAAGGAATAATTTTTGTGTGTGTGTGGATCCTCTGAAATGTTTCCCCAGACCTCAGACTGGCTTTTGATAATGATTTAAATTACTCATGTCTGTTGTTAAAGTATCTTTGGAAGTATACAGATTTAAAATTCTAAAAACCAAGTTTAACTTTGAACTTATAAGGCACGTGTTTAGAATAGGTATCTGTTTTCCTTGCCTACTAAAGCCCATTGCTGGAAGGAAATAAGAGAAAAATTAAGTAAATGTGTAAAGAAAACCTATAATAATTTTAATAAATGTTCATTATACTAAAAACAATTTATTTTTATTTTAAAATTGTAGACTTCAAGAGAGAAACTAGCATTTTGGATGTTAAAATAGCCACTGAGTTTGGGTTGCAAAATGTCATAAACATGAAAAAGCCATATTTTATACTTGACAGCTTGATGGACATGGATTTTATTATTGATTTTATGATGTATAAAGGCAACTTAGTTTATAATCAAAATGAACATAAACCACAACTTTTTCTGACTCTTTCCATTTCTAGCATTTGCCAACATCACATTTGCTCTAGGCTTTGAACAAATATGTTCTTCCCAACCACTTCTGAAATCCTGAGGCTAAGAGGAATAAAAGAAGATATAATTAGCTTTTTCTTTCCCTTAAATTCAACTTGTATAGTTGAATGTTTGTGACTTATTACAAAGTCTTAGGCTTAAAAATCTGCCTCACAGCCACAAGCTAATTGGGAGAAAACAAACTACCTCACCTTTTCAACAAACAGGGTGGAGCCACAGTTCAAGGATCTTTTTCATTAAAACCTACCAGACTGTGACAATCCTACCAAAGAGAAACCTCGCTGAATTTCAGAATTTCTTTTTTGGTGAATCTGAGTACTTTTTTTTTATTTCATCAGATTCCAAATGAGAGTTTACATATTTCTATGTTTGATGTGCTGGGCAAGATCTGGTAAGAATTTGATAATTTGATTTATCTTTCAAAATTGTGTATAAAATAGTCAATATGGTCTGTATTGTGGGATAGAGAATGCTGACATGGTATGGAAAAAATATAATTATGGATACTAATGAAACAGATTACTATGAAGAAAGTTTGTATACATATCTGTATATATATTTAGTAATTTTTATATTCTGTGTTTCCTTTCCAGATAGTTTGTAATTAGAAGATATAGGGAACAAATAGAAATATTCAAGAGAAATTAGAATAATTCAGTAATAAAGAAATTTAGCATTTGAAAATTATGATATAATAAACATCTTGTTTCAGTTGCATTTGTTTAAATAGCCCTGCTTTTAAGGAGATTTTACATAAGTATATAATCAATTGCAAAGTGAACAAAGTAAACATATATTACAACTTTCGATTTCTTTCTTTCTTCCTTTCCTCCTTTCTTTCTTTCTCCTATTATGCTAAAGCAAAAGCAAAACCAAAACTGGTTTGTGGTAATAAAGTAAAACTTTCTTCTCCTGGTTTTCTAGTTTATGATAATATAGTTTACTAATTTTAATAATGTTATTCATTACTTTATGTCAATAAAGTAGAAAGTAGAACTACTTGTTCTACTTTATGATAATAAGAAAAGTAACATTTAAAATTCATAATGAATCATTTTTTTGTAGGGGTGTTGCAAAAGATTTTTTTCTTTGCTTTGATTTATTTAAAATTCTTGACTGCATACTTGAATAACCTTAAAAATATAACTGGGAAATTCAAATTATTTTTGTTTCTCTTCCACTAGATATTTAAGCCAATTGTAAATTTTGGAAATATTTGAGTTTTATATTCTATGGAGGAGGAAGAAGTTTTTCTATAACCTCAAGGTTCTTTCAACTGGTCTAATAATCAAATTGGCATGAGAAAGGTTAACAAGAGAAAATAACCAAATTTAGTACATATGTATGATTGGGAACCCCACATACATGAAAGATTCAAAGACAGAAAGTGAAAATGGGATATTGAGAGTCTAAGCTAAGGATGAGGTAAGATACCTGGGGTGTCAGAGGGGGAAAGGTCATTTCCAGGATGACAATAGCAGCTGTTCAACAATTAGAAGTCTCCCATGCCCTATATATAGATCAAAAAAGAGTATATTTAGGTAATCTCTAAATATGGGCAAGGCCCCTAATTCAAATTTGTCTGTATAGTTAAGGGGAGAGGATAGAAATTTCTCTTGAGACTGCAGAGTCTTTGTTGTGTTTAGCTCAATCTGAAAACCACAGAGCCACATCTTAGGGTGATTTGTTCTGAACCCTCACAATTCCAATATTGAATTTAAATGGTACTAATATACAGTTTATCATTTATATCTTACTTATTTAGAAGTTTCTTTATAGGCATGTTATGTTTCTATAATGTATAATAATAATTCCTCAACTTGAAAGACAGAGGAATTTGAAGTCTAGGCTCCTAAGCTTTGTGTCAAATCATGGTTTACATCTTTCTGACATCACAGTTTATCCTCCACATTAAAGAGCTGGCTTTCTGAGATTATTATTAGTTTTTGTTACTAGTTAGGCAGTTGCCTATATTCTTAATTGGGAAAACTCATATATGGTTAGTAAGAATGTTTCTGTCTCTGTTGACTAAAATAATAGACCTTTTACATATTGACAGTAAATAGGAAATAAGGAAATTAAAGGTCTCAGTGACTCTCAAAATCATTCTTAAAGCACATTCTTATGCTTCCTCACATTTTCCTTGAATTCTCACATGCCTAGGAAATTTTTATTGAATTTTGTTGAAATTTTTGTTGAATTATATATAAACTTATATAATTTATTTATATAAGAATGCTTTATTCAAATTACACATCCCTCTCCTTTCTGCACTAAAGATCTGATATATACCTCTTGGAGGTCACGTCTCAAACTCTTCAATATAAAAATGATTATGTGACTATATCTTCCTTCAATAAACAAAAAATTTTCTGAAAAACAGATTAGTCAAATGTTTTCTAAGAATTTAATAGAACAAAATGGGAGTGGACAGCTAGCTGAACAAAATATATATAAATATATAGGAATATACATTCAAATTATATGCATATGTATGTATACCCAGTTCAGTTTATGATTCATATAAACTGCCTAACTAGCAGTTGTGATTGCTACATTATTATTATAGTAAGGGTCAGCAAATATTTCTGTAACGGGCTAGAGAGGCCTAAATATTTTAGGCCTAGAGGGCCATTTGGTCTCTTGCATCTGTTCAACTCTGCCATCGTAAGTGTGAAAACACCCATAGACAACTTGTAAAGAAATGACTGTGACTGTGTCCTAAAAAAATTTATTTATGGACACTAAAATTTGATTTTTATAATTTTCACATGTTGTAAAATATTATTTTAACTTTTCAACCATTTGAAAGTGAAAAACCATTCTTAGCTTGCCAGCAAAATTTGACTCACAGGCTGTAGTTAGCCAACTCATGTTTTCAGTAAGCTGGAAGACATGTTAAAGAGAGTAGTTCATTCTCATTTCACTGTTGAAGAAAGTGAAATTCAGAAAAGTTGATTCATTTTTTAAGGTGATAGATTTACAGTATATCATATAAGATACCTGAGAATCTTATTTAAAATGGAGATGTTTATGCACTGGCTGGAGGTGAAACCAAAGATTCTGCAGTTCTAATAAACTCCCAGGTGAGGCCCATGGGTTTGCAAGCTATACTTTGAGTAGAAAGAGTGTAGAAATTTGTAGAACCTTACTTAGTAGGCTGTTTGTAGGGCAATGATCTTTTCAAAATGCATGCAATTCTAAGCCCATTGCCTCAACAAATTCATCATTAGTTTTCTCTAAATTGTGTAAAAATATTTCTGATGTGACCAGTAACTTATTTTTATTGATTTACTAAAATCAGATACAATGAGCAACTGTAATTTATTATTTTAATTTATTAATTTATTTTACCATTTATTTAAAATTAGGAAAACCTGAAAGAACATTGGATTTATGATTAAAAGACCCAGATTCAAGTACTAGTGGCTTGTTATCCCAAGCCAAATCACTTAACCTCCCTGAACCTCATTTTTAATTAATTTATTTATTCATTCATTCATTTATAAAAATTTTTTATTGTATTTTTTCCATTACCATTTAGTTCCCTTATTCTCCCCTCCCCCTGGCAATCACCACGCTCTTGTCCTTTTCCATGAATACTTTTTACTGCCTTGTGAAGTTCCAAGGAAATGACATATGTGTGTGATTTGGTCAATTATAAAGCAGTACAAACTAGATTAATATAAGTTACTGTGGGGTTTTTTCATGATTTTCTTGTAGCCTAATAAGAATACTATAGTTTTTTGCAATTACTTCTACATCTGGTAATAGATAATAGATAATAGATAATACATCATAGATTTCTCCATTGATTGTTTTGGGTGATTTATTTTATATTTTAACAGGGATCTTACTGGTTTATTCTTCATTACTCATTCTAAGGCCAAGTGAAATCTCACTTGGTTTGGAATGAACCAGCAGTTTGGATGCATCAGTTGCATTCGGCCTTCTCATGGTTCAAGATGGTGGGAAAGTGGATACATACAATTCCTTACACAATTTGTACAGTGTAATATCTGATACTGCACTATGGTTTAATTCATTCCTTTTCTTAATTTCCTTATTCCCTAGTACTTAGAAAAAATGAAGAATCAAAGATTTTCACTTGCCCAAGTATCTCTCCACGGTTAACTTGGGAATTAAATGCAGGTCTTGCTTCTCCTTCCTTGCCTTCCTCTTATATCTTCTAAATAATTGTTAACAATATCGCATATATAGTTTCCAAACTAGGATGATTTTAATGAATAAATATTAACAGGTACTATTATGGCTTATCAATATATATTTATCTATTTATATATTAGTATATCTTTATATTTATCAAATATGTAACTTAAGTTAATATTTCTGGGCATTTAAATTCTTTTTACTTCTCTAATAATGAAATAACTTATTTTAGTTCATTTTTAAATGTGTTCAGGGGCCATTTACTTGGGAAAAACTATTGAAAGTGGAATTACTGGTACAGAGTATACCAACCCTTCTATGAATTTTTAATATATTGAGAAATTGTTTTCTCAAATTTTTTTACCAAGTTAAACTTTCAGCAGTAGCACAAGTACATATTCATTTAAAAATTTGGTATTATATAATATACTTGTTTTGAAAAAAAAAGTACAATTCTGAAAAACTATGAAAAAGAAAATATAAAGCAGCCATTATGTCAATGCCTAGCAATTAACTGCAAATGCCTAGCAATGACTAGCAAATGACTACTGATTTGGCTTAGTTATTTATATTCTGCCCTACTTCCTTCTAGGATAGATGGATGAATGGATAGGTAGGTAGGAAGATACAGACAGATAGATTAATAGATATATAGATAGCTACATAGATACACAGGTAAAATACACACAGGGATTAGAAAACATAAAATGATATTTAAGGTGTTTTAAATTTTTGTGTGATTATACATAACCTTGTGATTAATGTCTTTACATTTAATATAATTGTTTATTTCATTAATATATATCCTAGAAAAAAATCAGGAAGAATAAATATTTTAAGATCATGTGTGTGTGATACACACACACAAAATGTCAAAAGGATGTTGTATTAACTTATGTCTCAGCATCCATGTATATGAATAGTTGTTCCATTACTCTCACAAATAATATTAAAAGGATTCTTCTATTGTTTAATTTGATAGGAGAAATGATACCATTGTTTTGATTTGTACTTATTTGATCACTAGTCAGGTAAAATATATTTTTCTAATGCTTATTACCCATATATAAGTATTTTCTGCAGATTTTCTGTTAAAGTTGATGATTTATCTACTTTTGATACACATAATTCTTTATTAATAATATTAATGATTTTACATTGATGCTATTTTTCACAGATAAAGAATTTTTAACCACATTTACTTGTGCATTTTATTGTAAATCTTAAATATTTTTTTGTTCAAAAGTTCTTTTTAAATAATCAACAAATCAACATTGTAGTTACTTAGTAAATTATGTAGAAGTGCTAATGAAATTAAATTCCCTGCCCTTTGAGTTCAATTTTATTTTTTGCAAGAGCAGCAGGAATGGAATCGAATACTAGCTCAGTACTGAGCTTAACTGAATTTTTTTTTTATTTCAGAGAATAAAAGACCATGCCTTGAATTCTCTCACCTAAGTATAAAGGATTCTTTCAGAGATTTATTTAATCCCAAGATGCAGATGTTTCTGATAATGTATACAAGAAACAACCTTAACTGTGCTGAGCCACTGTTTGAGCAGGATGATTCACTTAACGTTAATTTCAACGTAAGCAAGAAAACAGTCTGGCTCATTCATGGATACAGGCCAATGGGCTCCGTTCCATCATGGCTTCAGAAGCTTCTAAGGGTTTTGCTGAATCAAGACGATATGAACATAGTTGTAGTAGACTGGAACCGGGGTGCTACAACTTTTATTTATGATAGAGCAGTTAACAATGCCAGAAAAGTTGCTGTGAGTTTGAGTAAGTGCATTCAGAAGCTTTTGGTAAGTCTGGAATGTTATGTATTTTTATGTGTTATACAATCTACAGTGTGTTATGCAACACTACAAAGTGTTAATAATTTTAAAAAATTTTTATTTGTTGAGAGAGAAACATCGATTTGTTGTTCCACTTATTTATGCATTCATTGATTGATTCTTGTATGTACCCTAATTAGGAATCGAGTTCTCGCACCTACGCTCTAACCAAATGAGCTACATGGCCAAGGAAATAATGTTTTTTAATACTTTAATACTTAATGCTTTTTTCTCATAAACACAGAGATTTACTGCTTTGATGTGGTAATGTGTGCAGCCAGCTTTTTTTTTATTTGTGTGAATGGATCATTTTATGCCTAGACATAATCTAATTTTTATAAAATTATCTTAAAATTTAAGTCACTGTTTTATCTTATAATATTTTAAGGTTTTAAGTTTTTTGTTTTACCTATACAGATTTCAGGATAAAGTATTGATTTTATGTGGACATAGGAAATAAACTACATAATCATTAGATACTTTAGATATTTTTTCTAAGTTATAGCTAATATGTTTTTGGTCAGTCAAGTGTGAATTGGTAAAAATGAGGGAAAAACAACTTGAAAAGTAGCTTATTTCTGCCAACCTTGGCAGCAAGTCTCAGTTTTTTTCATATCTGTCCAGCATTTAGGTCTAAGGTTGGGACAGGTGAAATAAATTTAGGACAGTTTTAAGTCATCTGTTTATTAAATCAGCCCAAATGGGGATCCAGGTCTTGTCTGGAGAGAAATGATATGATGGGCACTTTAGGGAAAAAGGGTGATATCTGATTTGGGGGGCAATCATGGGCTTGAAATATGCCTTTGAGTTGTGTTGTGCTTATCTTCCAAGTCTCTGCTGAAATTGAGCAAGCAGAACACATCCAACAAGTAGTTACATGTAGTGAAGTGGTTAGGGGTCCGATGGGCTCTTTTCAAAGACTAAATCCAGCTCATTACCTGCGTAACTTTGAACAATTGCTTAACCATTCTGCCTTATTTCCTTAGCTATCCATCTGGAATAGCAAAACTTTGTAACAATTTAATACTTAAATTGTTATTTAAGTGTTAAATGAAATTAACTCTTAACCAGTGCTTTTCATATTATAATCATTGAATAAAATCAGCTATTATAATTATTTTTACATACTCAAATTTGAACTAAACCAAATCATCCTTTTAGGGAGACAGAGGTAAATGATGCAACTCTGCTCTTACTGAAAGTCTGTACATTGCACAATTGCCATTTTCTTATACCAGTGGTCTTTAACTAATTAACATTCACCTCAAAGTGTGGGAGTTGTGAATGTTAAATATAAAAATTTATGAAAACTTGTAGTGTTAGATAAATTTCTAAGAGTGGCTTTGTTTACAAAGGCTTCATTTTGAGAAGTTAAACAAAGATCAGTAACCCTAAAGTTGAAAGTAATACTCCCTCAGGTTTCCAGGCACTGCTCTGAAAAATTTGAAGAAAATTACCACCCTGTACTTGGGGAGCCTGTGTCCAATTTCTCATTAGAAGTAAATGCTCCACATCTTTTACAAGTCATCAGATGTGTGAGTGTGTAAACTGGACCATGGCTTGCTTCTTGAGAGCATGGGGAAAGAAATTCTCCCTCCTTTAAGCTCTTAATTTGCCCCCACTCCCCCCCCTCCTGGGAAGGAGTGTCTGGAACTCTGAGAGGTGTTTAGAATTTAGGCTTGAAAGATCAGATTTAAAAAAAAAAAAAAAAAAAAAAGCCCTGGCTGGCGTAGCTCAGTGGGTTGAGCGCAGGCTGCGAATCAAAGCATCGCAGGTTCGATTCCCAGTGAGGGCACATGCCTGGGTTGCAGGCCACGGCCCCCAGCAACCGCACACTGATGTTTCTCTCTCTCTCTTTCTCCCTCTATTCCCTCTCTAAAAATAAATAAATAAAAACGTTTTTTAAAAAAAAGAAAGAAAGATCAGATTTTGTCACTCTCCAGCTGGTGATCTGGGGAAAGACTTATTTAACATCCATGAGTCTCATTTTATCATCTCTGAAGTGAGGATGATTATTCATATTGTTCAGTTTTCCAAGAATTTTTGACATAATCTGATTAGCATATATTTTGGAGTTAAACAGACCTGGACATGAAGTCTATCTTTTGCCCTTATAAGTATACAAGTATGTGGCTTTGGGCAACTCATTATCAAACCATATTCACTCAGCATTTTAAAAGTTCCAGGAACAGCTCTGGCTGGTGTGGCTCAGTGGATAGAGTGCCAGTGGGTGAAACAAAAGGTCCCTGGTTTGATTCCTAGTCGGGGCACATGGCTGGGTTGCAGGCTGGGTCCCCTAGGGGGTGCACGAGAGGTAACTACACATTGATGTTTCTCCTCCTGTCCTTATTCCTCCCTTCCCCTCTCTAAAAATAAATAAATAAAATCTTTAAAAAACAAGTTCCAAGAAGAGTTTTAAGCAATGGGATAAAAACAAATAACTCAGTGCTATTGTGAATATTTAATATGAGATTTATAAGGCACTTGTCAAGGTAGCTAGTACAAAGTAAGTGCCCAGTAATCTTTAATTAGTATTGTTACAAATGCTTTGTTAACTAAATGTATTGCTTTGCATATACTATTCTACGTAATATATGAGAAAGGTTTTTACATTTTAAGTAAATTTTTAATGTAATTATTACAAATGTATAGAGAAAAATAAGATATTTTATAGAAGAAGTTGAATAAATGTGTAGGTGTTTTGAAATTACAAAACTTATTCCTATCTATCTATCTATTCCTATCTATTCCAAAACTATCTCTCAGAAATGAACTAAACTGGAAAGAATAACAACTTTTAAAATATTAAGGCAAAGGACATGATTTGTGATTTTCTGAAATGAAAATGGTAACACTATACTTTCAATTGCAGAAGCATGGAGCATCTCTTGATAATTTTCATTTCATAGGTATGAGCTTAGGAGCTCATATTAGTGGATTTGTGGGAAAGCTATTTCAAGGTCAACTTGGAAGAATAACAGGTAAAATATTTTTGATAAAATCAATGCTTTAGCATAATTTTAAGCATTAGAAATAGCTATTTACATTTTAAAAGATATAATATTTAAGCAACAAAAATGATACACAATATTTTTTGTATTATATTGAAATATTAGTCTTTCTTTTAGTTAGTCTTAACTGAGCTTAAGTTACCCTTATAGAATTGAAAATAATCACATTGAAAATAACTTCTGTAGCCCATGTGTTACTTTCAAATTCTCTAAGGACACATTATTATGACAATCTGGAGAGAAATTTGGTCCATTTAATGTAAAACATTTTTCATGTGTTAACTAAAAATATAAATAAGTATTATATCTAATTTTTGCAAACTTTGATATATTTAAATTATTTTAAAAATTTTACTGGAATGACAGGAGAATCAAGAGTTGGTATTCAAGCATAAGGGATTCTGGATCCCAGTGCCCCTCATGTTTCCTTCACAAAATTATCTCATCCAGTAAGCTTGGTAGTCAAATAATGCTGATACGGATTTTCATGCTTCCCTTTAGGAGTGCTGGTGTTTTTTGTTTTAGAATTATAGATTTCCTTTGTATTGAAACACTTCCATTTATGGTAGGGATGGATTGGCTCTAAGGCTGCAGAGCATGGCTGCCCAGGTGGAACTGTGTACATCTCTGGGGATATGATGGAAGTGGTGCTTCCCTGAGTTCTCTAGTCTACAACACCCAGCACAGCAGCCCATCCTGAGAAAATCATGGCCATCTGCTCTTCCTGTTTCTGAGATGCAATCTAATTAGTGAGAGAACCCAAATTGGAGCACAAGCCTTCTTTTTCTCTGCCCTCTGTCTTCTTGGAGCATGTTTTCATTTTCTGGGGACAGAGACAGAAGTGGCTTAGACAGACGTTGCAAGCATGCTTCCACTTCTTCAGTGTGGAGTTGTCACAGGAAGGTGGTGCCATCTTCCCTCACTGCCTGTGATGACATCCAGCCAGTAAGGTTCTATTTCCTAGTACCCAGTGGTCCTGGGGTCCAAAGGGTTTCCTGAACCTCCCATTTGGCCTAAGTGCCAATCAGTGAATATTTTGTTTTAATTTACTATTATTACTTTTTAACTTTTATTTTTAAGTTAGAGCTGACATTCTGTATTATTTTATATTAGTTTCAGGTATTCAGCATAGTGGTTAGACAACTACATAATCTACTGCATTCAATAATTCTAGTGCCTACCTGGCCCTGGAATGGTGATAATATCCCTCCCCAACCAATTTAGCTTTTAAAAAACTATGGAGATACATGTCCATAGAAGATTTGTAATAATTTCAACTGTAAATAAAAGGTAATAGGATTTTTAATGAAGTGAAACAAAGGAGGAGGGGCGATGTGGGTAAATTTTACAGACTGTTAGGATGTTTACAGGCCTTTAGTATACCTTACTCTGATCAGTTTTAATATCATTCTCATTATACAGATGTGAAAACTGAGGTTAATCAGATGAGTGTGAGAGGGTTAAAAAGTTAGGAACAGCTAAGCCAGGATTTACATGACAGTCTCTAACACCCATTTTCTTTCAATCACCATGCTAGCTCAGTTTAAACTGGCAGTAATCCTACTTTATTTTAAGGTGTGTTTACACACATATTAGACCAGTTTGAAAGGCCTCACATGCCAAGCAAGTATGAAAGTTGATAAGGCCAGAAGATATAATGCTTCTACATCAGAGTAATTTATAGGAAGAGAGAAATTTCTGTTTCATTCAGTAAGTGGGCTAAATAAACCAGGAATAATAGAAGGGCCTGAGATAAGCAACATTGTATTTTACTTTTTAAAATATCTTTTTAAGGTGATTGTGTCTTCCATTGCATAGATCTTCTCAAGGCATTTTTTTCCTCTCTCTTTTTTTATTTATTATCAAGTACAGCTGTCTCCATTTCCCTCCCACCACTCCACCCCACCCCACCCATCCCCACCTCCCATCCTAGGCATTGACTTTTATGTCCTCCCTCCTTTTATTGATACTCTTCAGTAGGTCATGAGCCTAGAATATGTATTTAGAATTTCAAGTACATCAGAAATGTATTCATATTGCATGGAACTTTTAATACCATATTTTTAGGACTATAAGATGCATCAGACCCTAAGACTCACCTAAGTTTTAGAGGAGGAAAATAGGGAAAAAAATTTTTAAGCAAAAAATGTGGTAAAATATTTAATAACCTGTGACCTCACTCCACCGCCGCCCCCCCACAGTGAGCCAGGTAAGCTACATTCGGACTGTAAAATGCACCCCCATTTTCCTCCCAAATTTGCGGGGGGTGTCTTATAGTCTAAAAAATAATATATATTTTTTTCTTGTGTGTGTGGTAAACTTTTGTGAGAAATGAATGCTAAACATGTTTATTTAAATATAAAACAGTAATAAATATGTTTTATCCCATAGCCCATATTGCATCTGACACTTAAAAATCCTTTTAGACCTATATATAGATAAACCCAGAATGAACTACTATGTCACAAGGGTCAAGCTAGGACCAGAATGCCACTGATTTTTCCCCCTTAGAAGTTGGAGAACTTACTTATTATTAAACTTGTACCATTTTTTCTAATTACTCCTTAAATAAAAGTGCTAAAGAAGCCCCTTCAGTGTTTTGTCAGGTGTTTCTAGTGTGGCTTAATACTATATTATTGATAAAGTCTGAATATTGGTAAAAAGTGTTTTTCAAATATTAAAGATATTTGCTATTCATCCAGTTTTATTTACCTTTAAATTTGTCTTTAGACAGGTTTAAGCTAAAACTTTGCAGGCTTATGTTTATCATGTAATAATAATGCAAACATATTATCTAATCAATAGTACAGTAGGATTTAACTACTAGATTGATCATTTCTTTTTTGTATTTCAGGTCTTGACCCTGCTGGGCCAAAATTCTCTGGAAAACCATCAAATGGCAGATTAGATTACACTGATGCAAAGTTTGTGGATGTCATCCACTCTGATACTAATGGTACCAAAGCAGGATTTATTGCTCAATTATTTGAAAATGAAAAAGAGGGATGTAGACTCTTGAAAAGGAGAACATAAGAGGAGTAAGAATAGTGGAAATGTGATGATAAACCTGTATCTATGTAGTGACTGTATTTCCCACAAGAATATTTTTTGGATTTAGTGAACCCGTGTGGTGTCAAATGACACTCTGCCTTCAGCTTCCTCCTTCAGATTTTAAGAAACATCATGTTATCAAAAAATTGAAATTTATAAAAATAATCCTTTATCCTGTTCATTCTATGGACAGTTTTATTGATTTGATCATAATGTCCCCCATGTTTAATGCATTCAGGTTACTATTCTCTCCACTCATTTTCTCACTGTGATGTGTAGCAGCTAGAACTGAGCACAGCAATTTAGGCACAGATGGAGAATACCTTTCCCTACAGGTAGGGAAACATGTTCTCTGTCGTTTTTAATTATCTTCATGAAAGTGTCTCACAGACTATTGATAATTTTGGCAAGAGTACATTGCCAATACTTTCATAGAACAATTTAGGTGACCCTGATCCCCTTTGAAACTGATTATACTAATATTTATTGAGCACTTCCTATACATCAGGCAATGTTTTAATTTCTTTTTGTGAATTAATTTTAGAATTCTATGTTTCTATGAAATAAGTGAACATCATCATCCACCATTTACCAATGGGCAAGCTAGGGTAAGGTCAAAAGGCCAGTAAGTGACAGAGGCAGAATTTGAAATTACACCTTTTTATTATTGAGTCTATACTTCACCAATGTGTCACTCTGACCAAGATGTGCTGTGGCTGTGGGCATGGGGAGGGTGTGGTGCTAAGACAGGGACAAGAGGAAGTGACACTCAGACTGCCCCTATTTCTCTGTCTCCTCAGGTTTCCTTTCTCTTTGGTCCAGGTCATTTATTTGCTCTCATATCCCTCTGAATTCACTTTGTGGTGATCCATACCAGTGATTTTGTTAGGAGTATAAGTGCCATAGATGACAATTTTTCAACTTCTATGTCTACATGCTGATGGGCTGGGCCTATAATGGGAACAGTTCTGCTCCTTATTTTAAATCTAAGTTAACCTACAGTGCCCAAAGTTTCACATTCCTAGCATGAGAACCCCAACATCTCAAGTTGCTTTTATCTCCAGTTCTTTGTATCAGCTTAACATTACCACACACAGCACACCTGCTGACCAGTTACTCTCAAGTTCTTTGTCTGAAATTTTCTTTCTGAAATTACAATTTCTATGCTGCCTATGGCCTTTTGAATTAGCCCTTTATACCCTTTTCTTATTTTTGTTCACATTTTTGATTTTTCCTAGTAAACTCTTTTGGATTGACTTATACAGTCATCCCTCCGTATTAGTAGGGGATTTGTTCCAAGACCCCCACAGACACCAAAATCCACAGCTGTTCAAGTCCCTTATATAAAATAGCATAGTGCATGCCTATGACCTACACACAGCCTCCCATTTATTTTAAATAATCTCCAAATTACTTATAATATCTAATATCATGTAAATACTATATAAGTACTTGTGATACTATATTGTTTAGGGAATAATGACAAAAACAAGTCTGTATATATTCAGTACAGATGCAGCCATCACAGGCCTATCTACATTGTACATATCAGAAACAATATAACATTTTTTTCTGAATATTTTCAATCTGCTGTTGGTTGAAGCTATGGTTGCAGAATGCAAAGATATGCAGGACCAGCTCTACTTTCAACATCTTTTGATGACAGCCTGTCAGATCTAAGTGGCCACTGGATATCACAGATCAAAAGATCTCTTTGATCTTTTTATGACAACTTATGTGTATTTTCAAAGTGAAGAAGTCAAAACTATGATGATTTGGGAGATATGATTAGAAAGTAAAAAGAAATGGTTTTATTAGGAAAAAAGATGTGTGTTTGTTTTTAGAAAAAGAAAGAAACCAGTGATTGGTTAAGGGCACATGAGGTGCTTCTAAGTTACTATTTCTTAACATGGGTGTTGAGTGGCGAAGTGGCGACTGGCTACATTGTAATTACTAGCATCATGCTTTATGTTCTTTCCACATCTATGTGTCACATCTATAATAAAAAAGAATTAAAAACCCATATCTACTCTCTATACTCTTCTTGAAACCAAGGAAATGAATGTCCTAAACAGACCAAGCTGCCCTGTCCCCTCCATGTGATAAAAGGGAAATAATGTGCATGAATTGACTGCTTGTAGGTTAATAATAAATATCTTTTGCTTCCCCATGATTCCTGAGAATTCATCTTGATTTGATTCTACTCCAGTGACAGATTGGAGAAAGTGATGGCTCTAAACCTAGAACCCTTAGTCTTGAAACTTTGGGTTGAGTTCAGATGTGAGGAAATTTTAAAGATCTCAAAAATTATTGATTTTTTTTATCATTTTCAGAAGATTTGTTCATCCTTGCTTAAATCTACAAACTAAGCGGATGATGGAATGTAAAATGAGATTGATTAGCATACTTTCCACTACCACAGTCAATTCATGCATGCTTCTCTGAATTCTAGGGGGTTCTAATGAAGTAATCTAAATTATGCTTTGTCTTTCCTTATGTGCCGAATCCACTCCCCTATAATGCCCATGCCCAGTTCTTATGCCCTGGGGACACCTCACTAGCTGTTCACTTGTTCTGTGACATGCTAGAATTAAATCAAGTTGTTGTATCTTAATCCTTACTGTTGATCTAAGTATTTATCTTTGTTTTGCTAAATTTATTACTGATCTCTCTAAAAGTTCATTATGTTGTAGGTCAGATATTTCTTCTGCTTGAAGCCAATGCATTGCAGTCTTATTGAACAGCAAGATTTTTATCTGATCACAGTCCTGAATATTTTGAGCTTGCTACTCTCTTTCACTCCTACGGATCCCCTGGGTGATAGACCCTATTTTGGTATTGGACCCAGATTTGCACTTTTTCCAGTACCCTAAGGATCTATAGATGTAGAGGAGCCTTTAAACAGCAGCTACATATTTCATGTCACTCTGGCCCGATCTGTTCCAACGGAAACACATAATTAGATATTTTCTATTTGTGAATCTAGCACCAAGTCTTAGACATTATTATCCAGAATGAGAACAAGTCATCACACTTGCTTAAAAAGTCCTGTATGATTTGCCTTCATTTTTTCCAATGCTGCCTCTTGCATGTTGTACTCTAGCTAACCTGGTTTCTTTGAATACCTGGGGCATGCTCACAGTTACATATAATACTTGATTCACTGCCTCACGCACATCTTTCCCACCTTTGCTCAGCTCTCACCATGTCAGTAGGAAATTCTCCAACTAAATTATTTAAAAGTGCAGACTACCACCTCCATTAGTCTCTTACTGCCCTCTTATTCTAATGTTTTCCTATAGCACTTATCTGAAATCCTCTGTTTTCACTTGTTTATTATGTCTTACTTCCACTGAATGCAATTTCCATGACAAAAAATTCTTCTGCTCCCCTTTTCTTTTTCACTATAGTCATAGCACATAGAACTGTGATGGATCCACAGTAAACTGGTGACTGGTAAATGTGTTAAATTAATTAGCCATATTTTTATGAGGACCTAATTTGAGGAATTAGTACCAGAAAAACATCTCTTTTAAAAATTGCATTTATTTTTCAATTCAAAATGTGAAAGTCTCTTTCAATAGATTTTATAGGGTATTTTATTTTATACAAGTATTGCTGATCTGATTATATACACTTTGTGATTCTTGGGTGCTCTTCTTCTCAGGTTTAGGCATTAAAGAACCCTTGGGACATATAGATTTTTATCCAAATGGAGGAAAAAAGCAGCCTGGCTGTCCTAAATCAATATTTTCAGGTATACTAATAGCATTTCCAAATGAAGTACACATGATTCAAAATGATGAAAGACAATCAATAGACTTTGTTCTCTCTTAATCTGTAGGCACGATTTTGATCACCATTGCCCATGAATCAGGAGTTATTGGTAGAAAATGGTTTAGTTTTATCCTTTTCAGTTTGTAAAGGTTACCAGGAGACATCTCCTATGGTCATGGATGAGACCTAGTACATTATAGTTTCAGCAGTTTTAGCTTATAATTTTAACCTTAGGGAAAGTTATAAGTCATTGAAGGAGCACATTTTACCAACCAGGTATCATATAACAACGTAAGGCTGCTCAAAATGTCATCTCTACCGTCGCCGTAGTACTGTGCAGACACAAATTTACAAACTCTTGCATTTGGGTGTTCTCTACATAAATGGCTGAGCATCTGCTCCAGGTGTGGAATGTGGCTAATTCCAGAGCCTTAGAAATGTTCTGGGTCCTATGGTGGCATCTGGTCAAGTAACACGTTGCTAAGTGCCACTGCAGCTAGAGAAGTCTGGTTAAAGGGATAAGGATATGAGACATTGGGAAAGGAAAGGGACTTGATAAAGTTTTAAAATCACCTGCTTTCATAGTCATCTCTGACACAGTAGATATGTTAAAGATGTGGGTTTAGAATGGATAGATCTATTCACTAGTTATTAAACATGGTGAAAACATGTTTGCAGAATTTGTTAAATTACTGAAATTAAGCATTTGCTGTGTTAATTATTACTTTATTTTTAAATTTTATTTTAATAATTATTACTTTAGAAAAATTTCTTATAAATATCATGTAAAATACATACTAAATCTAAGTTTTTAATGGTATGATTTATTTAGTTGCTTAAGATAACACTGCATTATAGTCAACACTTTAATATTCATAAAACACAGTATTGAGTGGAACTTAATCTTTAATTTTTCTCTAATTTCCTTGAACTTAGATTAATACACCTACAATTCTTTTGCTTGATTTTTAACACTTAAGGATTAAAATTTATTAAATGTGGCCACCAGAGAGCAGTTCACTTGTTCTTGGCAGCTCTGGAAACAAACTGCAATTTTATTTCATTTCCTTGTCATTCATACAAAGATTACCAGACTGGTTCATGTGTGGATTGTGCTGACTTTGAGAAAAAATCATGCCCTAGGCTAGGTAAGAGCGATTGTTATAATTACTATAATTTTTGTAGGAAATGAGTAATGTAATATAATTGTTAGTATTTTCTGCTTGAAGCTTTCATTATTTATATGTTAACATTTATGGACAAATTATCAGTAGAACAACCAAAAAAATAGTTTATTTCCTACTAAATATTTTTAGCATATTTAGTGAGGGGAACCTGAGCAACTGCCTTTCTGTGGTATATGTAATGGACAAATTTGATGGTTTCATGATGATCCTTGTTCTTGGTATCCAAAAGAATCTTGTTATCTATTTGTAATCCTTCTCTAACTCCACTAAAGAAACAGACTTGTGCGATCTTACTGCCACTGATTTTTTTTTTAATGTGAAGTGTTAGGAGTAAGTGAAAAGGTATGGAGCATAGTTAGCTTTTCATTTGCTATTAACAAGTAGACATGACTCATGCATGGTTCTTCACACTTTCGAAATTGATAAAGCTTGGTAAGAGCAGTTAAGTATTGTCACTTCTGAAAACAAAAGCTTGCCAGTGAGAAATTTAGTGAAAAAAGATTCTGCATAAAAATAAAATGTTAGAGCTGGGAAGAATCTCAAGGCTGTTTGTTCAGCGTTTTCTAAAGAGGATATAGTAGACCCCAAGCATGTCATGAGCACGTAAATATCTGATCAGTATCATGGCAAGATCTGCCAGAAATGTTTCCAAAGCCCAAGGGGCTCAGTGAAATTGGTAGCAATTGCAAAGGCTGAATTAAACAGCCTCCTGCAGTTTTCTTCAGCAGGAGATTTATACTAAAGGACAGAATTGCTAAGGAGAAACAGGAAATAAGCAGGCTTTGTCAGACTTATTTTCTTATAGACCTGTCAGTTCACAAGACATTTTGTAGAATTGGTTTTCTTCAGACCTCATGCTGGGGATTGCTTTTCTGCTCCCACTGCTTTTCCATATACATAGGAAAATTGTGACTTCATATGAACATATGGATTTCTTAAGGGCCCAAGTGAGAACTCATGTTAGACCTCTGAATTCCCAGTTAAGTGTATATTCAGATCTCAAATTTGGAGATAGCAATGTGGAAATAGACAAATATATGAATTGAAAGCATCTTAAATATATGTGTATGTATAATACATATTTCTTAAGTACATATAACTTACATATCTAAAATATATATTACATATAATAATACAGTATATGTAGATGCTATCTATAATGTATATTGTATATAATGTATACATATGCATACTATATTTATATGAATGTATGTAAAGTATAGAAGTACTGGAGGCTGTATTCATCAAGCTAAATTTAGTGTTCAAGTTTTATCTAATAAATTTATTCCACTGAATTTACTAAAAAGAGTTACAAGTAAAATTCTGAACATGTAATACAATTGTAAAAATGTCTACAGATGGACTGTAGCCATATGGAGTACACTAAGCCCTGATAAGATTCCCAGAGATTGTATTATCATTGTAATTAAATAAAATTTAAAATTATTTGAAAATTGTGATGTTATAAAAATATATGAATATTATTATTGTTGTTGTTATTATTATACTTTACTTATTATTGTGCTTTAGTTTCTCTAAGAATTAGAAGTTTTTGCATGCTATTTGATGGAAGTCCAATTTCTAATGCTGTGTTTCTCAAATCTCAGGTTATCAAGCTGAGCTATGGAAAGATGTTTTAAAAGAAAGAAAAAAAAGATCTCTTAGGACCACTGTGTTTTTGGATACTACTGGCACAAATCCATTCTGTAGTAAGTTAACATTTTTAGCAAATAAATGAATGATTGCTTTTATGGACTAATTTATATTTTATCTAAAATGTTCTTCTACCCACTCAAATTCATCATGCACCTTCCAGAAAGTTTAAAACTTGTTAGAGCCAATTGTAAATTTTTAAATAAGGACTTGATTTTTAGATAAAAGGAACATATGTTTTGGGTAACATTTTCCCAAAGAAACAATCAAGTCCTTGTTCTTTTCCCCCAAATTTACATGATTATCCTTCCCACCCTTATAGTTATGTCAGCATAAAACAGGCAGAGCTTAAGACACCTATCAACATTATTACCAGATTTTTGGGAACTAAAACCAAACTATATAAATGCAAAAAATGCAAATAATAATTTTTCTAACATATTTAGAGTTAGACAAGAAGAAAATAATTGAAGAACAAGAATCTTTTAGAAATATATTAAATAATTAGATTTATGAAGGGCTAGTTAAGAAAGCAAAGTTATTCTGTTTAGAGATGAAAAGCTCAAAGTGGTTTATGAATAAAAGTAGATCCTATTATATTACATGAAGAATCTTGTGAGAAAAGTTTCCAGTCACTGTCATTGACTTTGGGAGATAAATATTTAAAATAGATGATCATATTTAAAAAATATTTAGATCAGTCATTGTCAATGTTTTATAGTCAAAATTTCTATCAATTATAAGATAGTATAATTCTTTAAACTTTAGTGATGTTTTTGTTCATCCAGAATTGACCTGTCCATTTTCTAAATTCATTTTTTATTGAGTTAAATTTAAATTCACACACAGATATAAGAAATAATACGAGAGAGATAATATAAGAGAGACCCTGTGTACACTTTATTCAGTTTTCCTAAGTAGTAAAATTTCATACTATAAAATATAGTATCACTACTAAGATATCGACTTTGCTTTTTAAAAAGATTTTATTTATTTTTAGAGAGAAGGGAAGGGAAGGAGAAAGAGAGAGAGAGAGAGATCAATGTGTGGTTGTCCCTCACGTGCCCCCATTTAGGGACCTGGCCCACAACCCAGTCATGTGCCCTGACTGGGAGTTGAACCAGTGACCACTCTCAGCCCCACTGAGAGTGGTTCACAGGCCCACTCTAAATCCATTGAGCTACACCAGCCAGAGCAAGATATTGACTTTGATACAATCCATGTATCTTATTCATACTTCCTAATAGACTTGTGCTTTTGTGTGTGTGTGTGTGTGTGTGTGTGTGTGTGTGTGTTTAGCTCTGCACAATTTAATCATACGCATAGGGCTATGTATCTAGCACTGCAGTAAAGATATTAACAATTTTATTACCACAAGTATCCCTTGGGTGGCACTGTTGTTTCTAATCCTTGTAATCCATTAATAAATTTCTAAAATTTTATTTTGAAAATATTACATGAAGGGTGTAATTCAGTATGTGCCTTTTTTCTTTACTCAGCATAATTCTCTGGAGGTTTATCCATGTTGCGGTGTGTATCAATAATTCATCCCTTCTTATAGCTGAATAGTATTCCATGGTGTGTATGTACTACAGTTTGTTTCATCATTCATCTGTGGAAGGACATTAGAATGTTTTTAGTTATTGGCCCTTATCAATATAGCTGCTGTGAATATTTGTGTACAAGTTTTTGTGTGAATGTAAATTTTCATTCATCTGTCATAAAGACCTAGGAATTCAATTGCTGGGTCCAAAGCTAATTGCAGATTTAGCCTTATAAGAAATTGATAAGATGATTTTAGAGTGGTGGTACCATTTTGCATTCCACTCAGCAAAGTATGAGTGATCCAGTTCCTCTGATTTCTTGTTAGCATTTGGTGTTATCATGGTTTAAAAAAAATATTCATTGTGATAAACACATGGTGATAACCGTGTTGCAGTTTTTTATTTTTCTGCCCCAAATACTTATGATGTTGTATATCATTTCAATACATTCTCTTTAGTGTAATGTGTGTTTGTGTCTATTGCTTATTTTCCAATTGGATTTTTTAAACTGCTGAGTTTTGAGAGTTCATTTTAGATATATATTTTTAATCTTCACCCAAGGATATGTTTATTGATTTGAGAGAGAGAGAGAGAAAGAGAGAGAGAGAGAGACATTGATGGGAGAGAGATGCATCGACCAGTTGCCTCCTGAAGGAGGCTTGACCAGGGGTCAAACCGGAAACCTTTCAGTGTATGGGACAACGCTCCAACCAACCCAGCCTCCTGGCTAAGCCTCTTTATCTGTTTTTGATAGTAGCCTTTTTGGTTACTTCATATGCAAACATTTTCTCCCTGTCTATAACTTGACTGTCTTTTTATCTCTTTGCAAGGGCTTTTGCAAGGTCAAATGTATTTACTTTTGATAAAGTCTAATTTATCTTTTTTTTTTCCTTTAATGGACCATGCTTTTGGTGTCTAAGAAACCTTTGCTGAGCCCTAGATTTTGAAGATTTTCTTCTACAATTTTTTTGTAAAGGTTTTATAGTTTTATGTGTTACATTTAAATCTGTAATCCATTTTAGTTTAGTCTTTATATCATATTTGAGGTTAAAGTTCATTTTTCCCTTATGGATGCTCATTTTTTCTAGCACCACTTGTTGAAAAGGCTATTCTTACTTTATTGAAATGCTTTTGTACCTTTATCAAAAATAAGTTAAACATAGTCCTTTAGGTCTCTTTCTATTCTGTCTATACCATGTTCTCTATTCTGTTTCATTGATGTATGAGTTTATCCTTTTTCTAAGACCACACAGTATTAATTACTAGAGTGTAGTATAGTAAGCCTTATTATCAGGTAGAATGATTATTTCTTTTTTATTTGCCTTCATCTTGATTATTTTAGATATTCTAAGGTATGTGCCTTTTAATATACTGTTAAAATAACACTGTATATGTCTACATAAACTTAACTGGGACTTTGGTAGGAATTACGTTAAACCTATAGGTCAGTTTGAAGAAAGCTGATGTCTTTACAATGTTGAATCTTCTGACTCATGAACATGTTATGTCCCCTCTCCGTTTGTTTTGAATCTTTGATTTCTTTCATTAGCATGCTATACATTTTAGCATACAGATCTCCTGCCTTTTTTGTTACATCCACACCTAAGTATTTTATTTTTTGAGTGATGGTCAATGATATTTAAATTTTTTTTGATTTTCATGTGCATTGTTAGTATAAAGAAATGGAACTGAATCTTTTGTATTGAGCTTGTTTTCTGGGATCTTTCAGAATTTGCTTGTTATTTCTTGGATTTTAAAAATAGAGTTTTTGGAATTTTTTATGTGGCAATCATGTCACCTACAAATGGAGAAACTTTTATTTTCTTACTTTCTAATCTGTCTTTTACTTATTTATTTTTCTTTACTTACTTCAGTGGCTCAAACTCCCAATTCTGTGTTGAATGAGTGGTGAGAGCAGACATCTTGCCTTCTTCCCAGTGTTAGAGAGAAACCATTCAGTGTTTCACCATGAAGTATGTGTTTACCTGAACTGTTTATGTGTCTGGTCTTTATAAAGTTGAAGTGATTCCTTTGTGTACCTAACTTGTGAAGGCTTTTTTCTTATCAATGTGTTTTGGATTTTGCCAAATGCTTTTCTGGATTACTAAGGTAATCATACATTTTTTTCTTCACTTTGTTGAAATATTGTATTACATTGATGTTTCTGGAATGTGAACCAGTCTTGTGTTCCTGTCATAAATCCAATTTGGCCATAATAAGTATTTTTATACATTGTTGGATTCCATTTGTTAAGGTTTTGTTGAGGACTTTGAGTCTAAGTTCATGAATGAAATACTGTTATCATACAAGAGTAATACAACCTCATAAAACGAGTTGGTAAGTGTTCTCTATTCTATTATTTTCTGGAATATATTGTGAAAAACTTGTGCTAATTCTTTTTTACGTGTTTGGTAGAATTTTTTAGGAAAGCCACTTGGACCTCAAAATTTCTTTTTATTGTTTGAGAGCTTTTTAATTACAAATTCAATCTCTTTGATGGACATGGGACTACTCAGATTATCAATTGCACCTTGGTCAAATTTTTGTGGTTTGTAATTTTCAGACTTAGTCCACTATTTTGAAGTGGCAAATTTATGTCATAAAGTTGTTTGTACCACTTCTTTATTATTTTTAAAATGACTATAGGATCTGTAGTAATATCTTCTATTTTACTGATTATAGTGGTGACTTTTGTCTTCTCTTTATTTTTACTTTTATCTATGTTGAGAGGTTTATTAATCTTATTACTCTTTCTCCCCCAAGAATCAGCTTTCTATTTCACTGATTTTCTATTGTTTTTCCATGATTAAATTTCATTGATTTATGTTCTGCTCTTTCTTACATCTTTCTTCCTACTTTTTTTGTATTTATTTTTTTTCTCTTAAGGCAGGATATTAGATGGTTGGTTTGAGATATTTCTTCATGTCTAATCCTATGAATTTCTCTGTTAGTGCTGCTGTAGCTGTGTCCCACATGCTATGATACATTGTATTTTCATTTTTAATTAGTTCTATATATTTCTTTTTGACACTTTTGGCCATTCTTTAGGCATGTTATTTAATTTCACAGTTTAGAGATTTTCCTATCTTTCTGTTATTAATTTCTCATTTGGTGTCATGGTTAGATAATAAACTATATAATTTTACTTTTTTTAATCATGGAAGTATTTTTTTATAGTCTAGGATATGCTCTATTTGAGTGAATGCTTCATAAGTACCTAAAATAAATGTGTATTCTGTGTTTATTGGGTGGAGTGTTCTATATATGTCAATAAGATTTTGTTGGTTGGTCCCAGATATAACTGACTCAAAGTTAAAAATCTTATCTAATCTCATCAGATAAAATTTTTCAAATCATGTCATTTAATTCTAAATGTCAGTCAGATTTGGGTGAGACTCTAGATGGAATTTGGGCACAGTTTGTCTTATTTGTGAGCCTATGAAACTGAAGAGTTAAGTTATAGTACATTCTAAAAATAAGAGTATTGAAACAGGCAAAGGATACCCATTACA